GGTGTTCCAAAAAGTTGGATAATTTCTTAACCACGATTCTGCTTAAACTGCTTGACGTAAAAAGCTTATTTTTGGCAAACGGATTTTTCGAAAGTCAAATTCCAACGAGATGAAACTACCCCTCAAATATTACCAAGTTATATAATAATATCGCCATATTGTTTTTTCTCATGGTGACATAAATGTGAGAAAATTTTATCCAGGTTGTATGTTAATGGAAATTCTTGCTTTGCTTCACCATTACAAATGATTAATTCGACGCGAACGAAGTCGCTGGTACACGCTAGTTTAATATATGCTTGTCGTATGTAAAATTTTATATTCTTTTAGAATATGTCTTACATTAACCCCAAATATTACTAGTTTTGAGGGAGTACTGTGGAGAGACAATCTATATTCACTTTATAATCATTATCATCATCAGTCTCAGCCTATTCAATCATTTCTAATTATGATGTACCCTTCTCTCATATTTAGATACTCTCATTGTTGCTTATTGTTAAGCATGTTATTATTATAGTTATTGTTGTTGTCTAAATCATCGTGAGTACCATGCTGTAATTTTTGTGGTCCATCTGTTGTCTGTCTTTCTTGCTAGGTGTCCCGGGACTTGAGGGATTTGATTCTGTGGATGATATCTATTACCTGGGACTTTTGTCGTATCCATTCTATTCCTTTACGGTCTCTCTTGGTTATTCCCAGCATATTTCGTTCCATTTATCGTTGTGCGACCTACAGTTTTCTTATAATTATCCACGTTATATCATATATACCAATTACCAATTGCAAATAAAATAATATAAGACAATATAATCACGTGATTATGAGTGCTCTAAAAATTGTGCAAATACCAAAAAATTATACAGACAGCATAATCTTTGTAGATAATCTTCAATTTTTTTAAGTATATATATATGTATAGCTAATAAACTAATTTAAATATTGCAAATAAGATTATGCTTTGGTTTATAGAGATAAGATCATCTATTCTAAAAGTTCAGTGGCGTTCGTATCTCATTTCCCCATATAACACAACACAATCCTATAAATATCTTGAGGATATCCACCAAGGATATAGTAAATATCTTAGGGATATCCAAAAACCAGAGGAGATTTATGGGATATCCAGATGGGACAAAAAAAGTCATCTTCAAGACATCCCTAGGCAAGCCTTTTACGATTATTTGGGATATTTATAGGATAATACAAGGATGATGTTGGGAGCATTATAGAATATTTTTAGGACATTATATGAGGACTGTTATTTGACAATACTTACTTGATCCTTAGTTTATAGTAAAAACGTTCGCAATTTAATTTTATTTAACCACATTTTGACGTTATTCATTGGATATTTTTATTAACAGCTCTAAAATATACCTACATATATTATGGCAATGAATTTTCCGTCAAAATTTAGAAGTTTATTTATATGAGTTAAGAGCTGTCAATTTTTACTGTACCATCGAAAAAAAAAACGGCGTTCAGTTGGCTTGAAAATTACGATCGATTCCCATATAATTTACATACAAAATAACAGCAATTTTCATTTCCAAGCCACCTCTGACGCCGTTTTTTTCGATCGTATGGTATTATACCAGATTATATTACCCTTTACACACAATTTAAACACAAAAATAGGATTTCTGTTCGAATAGATCAAAACAAAAATAGGTTCAGGGATAAAGAACAAGCGCTTTTCAACAAATTTTCACCTATAATTTGGTTTGGTTTGGTTTTTCAAATCTCTTTTGGTCACAAATTTTTCATTGTGAGACCCTGAGTCGTTCGTCGTTTTTCGACATTAGTTGAGGTTAGGATAGAATTTCTGCTAGAAAAAGGCTAGAACTATGAGTATAAGAAAAAACTAAGTCAAACTCAACTAGTTTTGTTAGTTTCAGTCATTTTTAAGCCCATTCAACATCGACAAACAACCGAATTCACCTGGAATTTCACTAAATCAAAGAACTGAATAATACACGATGCAAAAACAAACAACTGTCGAGATGGATTGTGGGAAATTTTTTGCGTGGGCGTTTTAAATTCTCTATATTACTGAGAGTGGCCAAGCTCCTAAATATCCAGATTATCCAGAAGATACCAAGTTGCCTTGACGTAATATATATCTATCTGTATGGTTTATTGCATTTTGTGTAATATAAAAAGTAGTACTAAATATCTAGACCATATTGTTAGGATATTTTAGTATCATGAGCATGTTTGGATATCTCAGCTGGATGTATATTAGATATACGACAGAGAGAGATATCCATATTCTATTCTGAGACATCTACAGGATTTCAGGATGTCTAGAGGATATCTTATAGATATCTTTATAGGATGATCTTGTAGTGGGACATTCCGACATTCTATGGATATCCTGCGGATATTGTGTGTTATATGGGTTACGATCTTTCTTGGTTATTCCCAGCATATTTCGTTCCATTTAGCGTTGTGCAACCTGCAGTTTTCTTATAATTATCCACGTTATACCATATACCAGTTGCAAATAAAATAAATCTTAATAATTTTCTTCAGACGAGAAATTAAATCAGAGACAATATAATCACGTGATTATGAGTGCTCTAAAAATTGTGCAAATACCAAAAAATTATACAGATAGCATGATCTTCGTAGATAATCTTCAATTTTTTTAAATACATATACAGCTAATAAACTAATTTAAATATTGCAAATAAGATTATGCTCTGATTATGCTAAGATTATGCTTTGGTTTATAGAGATAAGATCATCTATTTTTAATCTATTCCAAGTTCAGTGGCGTTCATATCTCATTTCCTTTGTGAAATATTAATAGCCGTTTTGTTAACTTAAAGAATTTAAGTTACTTTCTGTACTGTAAATTTGTAATACGTTATATGTAATAAATTTGATAATAATATGCAGTTTCTTCAGTTCATATTGAACATTGGTCACCTTTAAAAGCATGTTACTCTCTTATTTTAAACGGAACACCCAGTATATTGTTCCTAGAGATGAGCAGAAAATCGCAAACTGCGATTTAATCGCAGCGATTGTAAATTCGCAATCGCAACCTGTGATTCCTTTCCATAACAAACTGCGACTTGCGATTGGAACATATATCTGCCGATTTTGGATTTTTAGGTAACCAATATTACACCAATTGCGATTTGCAATCGCAGTGGGCACGCGAACGAAGAGCTGCGAACGAAAATCACAGCATTGCGATTTTCGTTTGCACCGGCGGTGCATCGACACGGCACTGAGAAGCCGAACGATGAGCTGGGAACGAAAATCGCAGGATTCTCGTACGCACCGGCTGGCGGCGGGAATTTTAAATAAATTACCTATTATGAGATCGACATATTAAATATACCTATACCTATATCCACAAAGTTACGCGGAGTTTTGATTGCATTGGTTTCAACTTCTATGCGGAGGGGGTTAATCTTTTTTTGATATAATATAACAACAAGAGATTAACACCCTCTGCATGGAAGTTGTAACCAATGCAATCATTCTTTCGTGCAACTTCGTGGTTATAAATAGTCAGATCTCGTTGGTAAAATAGCAATTATGGGAAGGAGCCGTTCTCCTGGCGACCGCCTTTCGTAATCCCAGAATGAGCAAAAAAAAATATGCTAAATTTAGGTTTAGCATTGGCAACGTTGCTTTAAATGCCAAAAACACATAACCCAACATTTTCAGATTGTTTACAAATTTATTTTAGCAAATTTTCCTCTATTATGCATAGAATTTATTAATAAAGTAACAGAAAATAACAATAACATCATTGTTTATTGAATACCTAACAAAATATATGCTAGAAAACCTTAAAAATATGAGAAATTAAGAAAAATTCGATGTTGAAATAATTTTCCGATTTTCTGAAAAACGGTAAGAGACCGCCAAGAAAAAAGTTCAGATTCGTAATCTACGACCTCAAAATAGGGTGTATACCAATTTTGGTAAAAATCTGACGATTTCCAGTTTTCCCAATAATTACCAAATAAAATTATACCATACAGTTTATTGCTATAAGAGCATTTAAAAAAACAAGTATTAAAATACCGTATGATTGAGAAAAACGGCGTCCAGTTAGCTTGAAAATGATAATCGATAACATTCCCTTTATAATTTTATATATAAAATGACAGAGAGCATAGCAGAGAGCCTCATTTCATTGCCATCGCTGACGCCGTTTTTTTTTTCGGTATTTACCGATGGATTAATAAGGTAATTGTCATCAGTTGTCATTTCCAAGCGAACTCTGATGCTGTTTTTTTTTAGTTGTTTGGTATTTTAGCTATTTATTTATTAATTATACAGGGTATGTCTTAAATAAGTGCAAATATTTTTAGGGATATTAGATTTTGACTCCCAAAACACGATTAGGATGTTTTTTTTCGCGAAATTTTTTTTTAATTTTAAAATTTAAAAAAAGAACGGATTTTTTTTAGCTTTTAGTTATCTAAGGTTCTCTAGGAACTTTAAGGTAAAGACAAGATTTTTATTTCTTATAAGTGAGAAAAACTGTAAGGGCATGTTCCTTAGTACAGCTCTGTAAGTAAGCTGTTTTCCAGCGCATCCGCCATAATACCAATTTTAAAAATATTTTTTTATTACTTTATTATGAACAAAAACTACATTAAATCATAGAATATTGTTTCTTTGTTTATGTTCTGGACAAATATCAGTTGATTATATATTGTTTAAACTACAAACAATAATGTATTAACTAAAAAGAGTGGGAGTAAAATGTTACTTTTTTATTGCTAGAACAATGTGTATTGTTTACAATTTTTAACAGTGACAAAATTTCGTAATTGTCTATAGGTTTGATCGAACATAAACAATATTTTTTACTCCCTAGACGAAAAAAAAACTACTAGTACTTGGCAGTGTTGTCAATTCAATCAAAAAGTTGTTCGATTCAACGAAATCGAAGTCAGAAACAGGTGAAATTCCTTTAAAAAAACGCTGTACCATTGTTGTCGATTACCGTGATACTATCGCACAAATTTCAGTACCAATTCAAGATCAGTCGAACATGGCTGATGCAAATCCATTATCCGCTAGTCTTTTTCTGTCTCGTAAGATCATCTGTTTGTTGTTTTTATAGTACTTACCAGGTACTGAATAAATTTTGCATTTCCATGTAGTCGCGAATTTAATTAATTTATTTAATTAATTAGGAATATTGTTGCTGTTGAGTTACTGTGATATTTTTTTAAGAAATCCTACCATTGGTAAGTACCATTTTTTTTCTCTTGGTTTGTGTAAATAAGCACCTACCTTAAATTTTATTTTGATATGCTTTTTGAATATATATTTTTCAATTAAATTGTTTTTAAATTTATTTTTTATTCTTGTCTTTGTTTGGTACTTAATGAGGTTTAAAAAAATGTTTACATATAATTATGAGTTTATGTCTTTTTTGTGCAGGAAAAACCTTGTCAAAAACTTTTGCACTCTTTGTGAAACATATGTGTACAAAAATGTCGATATTTTCTTTGTTATTTCACATAGTGAAGTACGGTACTTTTCATTAAAAAAAATAATATACCTATGTATTGTCCTCTGGTTTTCAGATTTTAAAAAATCAATGAAGTAGGTACTGAAAATCCTGAAAAGGTACAAATGAATTATATAAAAATATTGTATGATCGAAAAAAACGGTGTCAAACAAGGCTGGAAAATGAAAAACGATGATAATTTTAAGGAGGTCAATCTCTCGACGTCATGTACTAAAGATTGGCATAAAACTTAACAAAAATTAACACTAATTATATAAAGATTAAACGTTTATTCTGTAGACTTTGTCTAGGGCTTGACCTCGCCAAAATTATCATCGATTGTCATATTTTCCAGCCGTCTTTGACGTCGTTTTTTTTTCGATTGTATGCTATTATATTTATTATTTATGTAAAGTGCTTTTTAATCTCAAAGAAATGATTTTTTTTCTAATTTGCCCATAAACTCTTTCGACTAGCCTAATTTAATACATTGATATTATGAAGTTTGATTATTCTTGCAATAAAGAAGCAGTTTTATAACATAAGGATATTTTTTTTATGTAAGAGTCAATGACATGTAATTTTAAATAAGAAAACAGTTTAATTTATAATATACAGCGTGTTCTAATTATTTTAAACCGAAAGTTTGAATCAAAAAATTGAATTTTTAGCAAAATATTTTAAGAATAAAATTATTACTTTTAACGAACACCCTGTATATATCTGACTTACCTGCGTGTTATAAACGCATTATTTATTATTCTACCTTTATTTGCCAATAACGATCACCGATAACAATATTGACAATTCCTGATGTTTATTTATTTTGTATGTCTATCAAATACCGATAAACATATTTATTGCCTATTTGCTATTTGGAATTTTCCTATAATTCATTTTATAAACTATAATTTTATTGTTATAGAGTAATTAAAATTATAAGTAGGTATTTAATATTGTTGTAAAACTAAACCTTCTCTTAAGTGATTTATTTAAATATTACCTATAACTTTTTTTATTGAAATCTCTAGTGAAATCTTTATATATTTTTATTATTTTTATCTTTATTTTTTTTCATGAGAATATGAGAATTCCTATTTGTAGGGGGCCGCCACCTACTTGTTTTTTGAAACTTCCACACCCTGTATCACCGATACGAACTTTTTACTTATTTTTATCTGTAGAATCTGTTTGCCGAAGTTTTCCGATGACAATTCAAACCACCCTGTATATTAAGTTCCTGAAAATATTTTGTAAAAGTTAGTGCTCCCAATTTTGATGATAATAACGGTTCTTTCTAGGAAAAAACGACATTTTTAAATGAGATCGTGATTAAAAAAAATACTATTATTTTTAATATATGGAAAGAAATCTATATATGTTCGAATGAAAAAGAACACTTGGCTTGTCCAAACATTGTCATATATTCTATAGAAAAATCATCCCTAAAAATATATAATATAGAAGTCCAAGGAAACCAAAAGTAAAAAAAAATAAAATAAAAATAATATACTCTATTTTCTATCTGACGCAAGTCAAGTCTACGAAGGTTTCAACCAAATGCAAATCGGTTTCTTCAGATTTGCATTCGCAAAGCTTTGCGTTCTTTTCGTACGCCCACCACTTGTTTACTATCGTGTTCTAGTAGGCTGTCTATACAGCTATTTTGTTGCGAATAAGCTAGTTTGTTAGCTTAGAAAGATTATATCGTATCGTTTGTATTCAATTTTATAAAATTGAAAGTCGTGTATAAAATAAATTGATTAAAGAACAAAAATGGTAAAAGTAAAAGACCAAAAATCGAAAGTTAGTTAAAGAGAAATTAAAGAAACTTATTTTTATTACAAATATGGCATAAACGAAATCGGTAGCATCTGTATATTGTTATAGATAACCCCTAAATCGATAAATGCTATTATTTTAATAAATAAATCAACAATAAAAATAATTTATAAATAAAAAATCAAAGAATTATTTATATCTATTCTATACTAATACCGTATGATCGAATAAAAACGGCGTCAGCGATGGCTATGAAATGAAGATCGCTGTCATTTTATATGTAAATTTATATGGGAAATGTTATCGATCGTCTTTTCCCAGCCAACTGGACGCCGATTTTTTTCGATCATACGGTATTTAAAATCCTTAAGTGACTGACATACTGATTAATCACGATCCTGCTCAAACCACTCAACGTAAGAAGCTCAATTTTAGCATACAGGTTGATTCTAGGGTGTAGAGGTTCGATAAGAAGGGATTTTTCGAAATTACAGTTCCAAGAGGGTGAAACCACCCCTCAAATATTACAATATTTTTTAATTAAAAAAAGGTCAAGTTCCCGAAAAAAACGCTTTAACACGTATATTTTATTTTGTTTTTTTACACATTTTAAGATTTTTTAGAAATGTATACAGAGTGTTTCGAAAAATCTGGTCATTGATTAAGCACGATCCTGCTTAAAGCGCTTGACGTAAAAAAGCTGATTTTTGGAAAACAGATTGACTTTAGGGTGTAGAGGTGCGATAAGAAGGGATTTTTCGAAACTGGAATTCTAAGGGGGTGAAACTATCCTTCATATATTAAAATATTTTTTATTTAAAAATAGGTGAGGTTTTCGGAAAAACTCTTAAACACGTATATTTTATTTTGTTGTTTTGCATATTTTAAGATTTTTTATAAATTTATACAGGGTGTTTCATAAAATATGACCATTGAGTAATCACGATTCTGCTTAAACTGCTCGACGTTTAAAGCTGATTTTTGGCAAACGGATTGACTGTGGGGTGTAGAGGTTCGATAAGGAGGGGTTTCTCGAATCTCAAATTCCAAGAGGGTGAAAACGCCCCTCAAATATTACAATATTAGTTATTTAAAAAACGGTTAGTCTTTCGGGAAAACGCTTGGACAAGCATAATTTATTTGGTTTTATACATATTTTGAAATTTTTTAAAAAATCATACAGGATGTTCTAAAAAGTTGGGTAATTTCTTAACCACGATTCTGCTTAAACTGCTTGACGTAAAAAGCTTATTTTTGGCAAACGGATTTTTCGAAAGTCAAATTCCAACGAGATGAAACTACCCCTCAAATATTACCAATTTATATAATAATATGGCCATATTGTTTTTTCTCATGGTGACATAAATGTGAGAAAATTTTATCCAGTTTGTATGTTAATGGAAATTCTTGCTTTGCTTTATCATCACCATTACAAATGATTAATTCGACCCGAACGAAGTCGCTGGTACACGCTAGTTTAATATATGCTTGTCGTATGTAAAATTTTATATTCTTTTAAAATATGTCTTACATTAACCCCAAATAATTACTAGTTTTGAGGGAGTACTGTGGAGAGACAATCTATATTCACTTTATAATCATTATCATCATCAGTCTCAGCTTATTCAATCATTTCTAATTATGATGTACCCTTCTCTCATATTTAGATACTCTCATTGTTGCTTATTGTTAAGCATGTTATTGTAGTTATTGTTGTTGTCTAATTCATCGTGAGTACCATGCTGTAATTTTTGTGGTCCATCTGTTGTCTCCAAGGGAAGGATCGAGAATACTGTTGGTGGCTTCGGACTGGGAGATAGGAATGAGAGAGGGGAACGACTCATAGAGTTTTGTCAGGAGAAAGATTTAGTTATTGCGAATACTTTTTATGAGCTACCACCTCGACGACTCTATACTTGGACATCACCAAGAAGTAGCAAAGAGAAGATCATAAGGAATCAAATTGATTTCATTTGTGTCAACAGACGGTTTAGGAATAGCATTGAGAGTGCTAAAACCTACCCAGGTGCAGATGCGGACACTGACCACGAATTGCTTGTAGCCAACGTAAAAGTGAGACTAAGGAAGCTGCAAAGGATAATAAAACCGAAGATAATAAACACAGAAAAGCTCAAACAACAGCAGTATCAGAAGGAGTTTAACGACTCAATAGCAAGTGAGTTTTTGGAAGCATCAGCGACAAATATCGACATGGCCTGGGACCAAATCAAATCTACAATGTTGACTGCCGCGGACCAAGTTGTAGGCAGAAGAGAACATAATACGAAAAACCCCTGGATGACACAGGAAATCATAAACCTTATAGAGGAAAAGCGTAAATACAAAAACACTGACCCGCAAAAATATAAACAATCAAAAAGACAAATAGAACACCGCATAAGAAAAGCCAAAGAGACATGGATGGAGGAGAATTGCCGTGAAATGGAACAACTGAACAATAAACATGATTATTTTAATCTACATAAAAAGTTAAAGGAATTAACTGGAAATAAAAAAAAAGAATACCGATGATCACAAGAAACGCACAGGGAGATATACAGTTAACAGAAGAAGGCAAAAGACAAACTTGGAAGGAATACATTGAACATCTATTTGCAGCAAGACGAGATGACGTCAGAGATGAGAGCAACCAGGCGGAACAGCTATGTATTTTAAAATCAGAAGTGGAGTATGCTATAAAAACATCAAAGAGCAGAAAAGCGACCGGACCTGATAATATACCAATAGAATTCTTGAAGGCCTTAGACGATAGAAACTTAACTCAACTCACAATAATGCTCAATAAAATTTACGAAACAGGAGAAATCCCAAAAGACTGGCTTAAATCGGTCTTCATCCCTCTGCCTAAAAAGAACAACCCCAAGTCCTGTGATGAGTATCGGCTAATCAGTTTGATGAGTCATACTCTGAAGGTACTCTTGAGGATAATC